ATTGCCTTCGTATTACACACCTGAGTTTAATACTCGGTAGGCCAGATGAGAATTTTTTGCCAAATGGAAAGCGTTTTTCATTACTAGACTACTGCAAAATCATAAAGCTGTTCAGAGTATTTTTTTAGCTTTATTTTTAATAGCTTCTGACAAATGTGCTCAAGTTTTCGCTGAGTGCTCTATTGCATTGCTATGTAACACTTTTGAGCAAAAGACTTAGTCTGAAATATACAAAATTGATATTGCGCCATAGACTTTTTTTTAAAGTACCTATCGATTTTCCTGTTCTCCCCTCCTCCACGACAGAGCAAACTTAGCTTAAAATTTATGGTGATGAATTAAGGGGGAAAAAAGAGTGACTAAGTAAAGTACAAAACATCAAAAAACTTTATTTGCTAATGTTAAATAGCAACCGAACTGGCACCAGTAGTGCTAGTAGTGCCACCAGTTTCTCCTCCTCCAGTTGTTCCACCAGTTTCTCCTCCTGTTGTCCCACTGGTTTCTCCTTCTCCTCCAGTTGTTCCACCGGTAGTGCCGCTAATGCCACTGGTGTCGCCTCCGGTGGTGCCAGTGGTTTCGCCTCCGGTAGTGCCACTGGTTCCTCCTTCAGTTGTTCCACCTGTCGTACCACCAGTAGTAGAGGTTTCCGTTGCACCCGTTGTCCCCATAGTTGTACCGCCTGTAGTGTATCCACCGACCGTAGCTGCAAACATTATTAGAGGACAAATTATTTTTTTAAATGAAGAATGAGAACCTCCTGTTGTTGTGGCTCCAAATGCGCTTCCCGTAACTCCTCCAGTAACCCCAGATGCATCGACACCATATCTTTTGTACATTCCACGATACCTATGGTTCTACATGCTTTGCAATTCCATCTATCAGAGGTTCTCATCTCACCAGTCCTGGTAAAAAGTACGACGGCTAAAATACAAAAGTAATCCGAAAGTAACAATTGATATGAATGAGCCGAGAAAGAAGCCGTAGAAAATGGCCCATATTAGCCATCCCTTTCTTGCTTTCTTAGGTTTTTCTCCTCCTAAAATACTAAAGTGATTCTATAAAAGGATCGAAGAGGGAACGTACATACCTAAATCTTTTTCTAATATTCTTCTAACTGGAGTTGTTGTTGATTTTGCAGTGGCTGATACATTTGGAGCTGGCGATTCCTAATTGAGTGGAAAAATTTTCAATATTCGCTGGTTAAGAAAAGATTGAGGAAAGTGAATAATACAGATTTTATGCACCCACAGAGGCTAACGTGCCCAAAATTGGACGTTGAGAACCTCTGGAATAATCTATCCATTTTGATGTTCCATTCGAAACATTATCAATAGATTTTTCTTTATAAAGTTGGAAAACCTTCCCGTTTTCTTTTCCCTTGAAAAGATAATTTGATCTTAGGTACGTTGGTAATTATTATAGCCTTAAACTAACGAGACGCTTAATTCCAAATTTCTTTATGAGGCAATCATGATGTGAAAAGTAAAAGATTATGTGGCCGTCATGATCAACATATTGTGTAGAAGCTACCCTTTCTCTTCCAACAGACCAGATTGAAAACTAAAATACATTAGACTACGAGAACAAGCTTTATTCGGTAAGAAAGAGATGGTTAAGCATCTGATACTTACCCTTTCTCCATCAAAGTCAAAGCCTATTTGTGTAGGTCGCTTACTCATGTACTCACTCGTCATGTCCTCTCTTTTTTTCGTAGCTTTCAAAAACCTAATTGTTGCTCCATTCTCTATAAAATGTTACCTTACTAGAACGACGACCCCATAGAGTACCAAAAATGTTCCTTCCCATTCAGAAATAAGGTCAGGGATTTTAAATGAGTAGACATGAGTGGAGATCAGAACGAAATAGAAAGTCTAAACTTTACCATATAATGTAAGAGTCAAATGTTTTATTGGGGAAAAAGTGCGTCGGTTTTTACTTTCATAGAATTGTTGCGTTGAATGTGTGGAAAGATTGCCGAAGTGGGTTGACCTTCTGAAGGTGAGGTTATAGTTATGGGTGCGTGGAGATTGCTTATTGACATCTTTCGTCCACGAAAACTATTGCATTTCAACAATTAGTTTTGTTAATAAAGTATTCAAATGCTCGCCAATAGCATTCCCTTCCTCTTTGATTTAAGATAAGTCATTACCATGTATCGCGCGTGAGAGGAGGAATGCGCAA